AGTCCAGAGTCTGAAAAGTATCCAATGATGAAAAGATTAATGAAAAATTACTGCCACTGTGGGACACGAACTGAAGCCTCATCGTAGCTGATACCAAATTCCGTCATGGGGGGGGGGGGGCGATCCTGATCGTATTTCATCGATCCTGCGTCTCCCTAAGATCTGTCTTCCGTCTCCTTCTTAATCTCCCCACCCAATAGTGTCTCTATCTTAACTGTACTAAGTGACCTCCATAAATTCTCATTATGTGATAAGAAAATTATGGCTCGTTCTTTACGTCTAAATGTTTTCCTGAGCGGCGCCCGCATTGCCCTTCGTGAAGAAGCAATTTGCCGAGTTAAGCTCCGGTACTTAACCTGATAAGTCAGATCGACCTCGCTCTTCTATAGTGTACTAATGACAAATGGGAATTGAGGAAGGTCAGAGGTCAAGGGACACATGCAAATGTGTGACCACCCGCAAGTTTGTTCCGACCTTCCTTCGGGCTGGCTGCTGGATTACGGATTCACTTTGTTCTTTATACCCTTTGAATTTCAGTACGTTCTACGTCCTGAAGCAATCAGCGTTTTTCGACGCACTGATAACGTCAGGTTAGTGTGATTTTGATTTTTGGTTTATCAATACAAACTCTATAAGAATAATAAGTATAATACTTAAAAATTAATTATGTTAAAAGAATTAGTACGAGACATAAAATGTAGAAGTCGTTACTGTCGATAATTTAGTGAATTGTTTTTTTGGATGGCGAATACAGGTAGCCCTCGATTTGCGCCGATTCAGAATTACGCCGATTTTGAAACCAGAAAGTCAAAAAGTGGAAAAAATATTATTTATAACGTTTTACAATGTTTCTCGCACTGATTCTTATACCAAATCGTAATTATTACATCGCTGATTTTGAATAAAAATTATAAATACAGTCATCTCTTCAATTACGTAAGTTTCGTTAACGCGAATTTGCTCCAATGAGATCGATGAATCGGTAAAAGCTGTTTGTGAAATGCAAACTTTTGCATATGCGAGTTTGCTCTTATGAAATTTCATTACTGGCGCTTTAAACTTTCAAAGGACTAATTTAATCTCTGCGGAGTTACCGGGGTTATTTTTACTACGCGATTTTCTATAGGTCGGCGTCTTACATGAATGCAACTATCGCATAACAGCAGAGATGACTGTACACATCAATCACATGAAAGAATCGCGGGGACCAACGAATTGCCGATTTTAAGTGTATAAAATATATTTTTTAAATTCCTATTATTTTATTTACGTTATTTCAGAGCTTTAAATGTAATGCCATTATATTAGTCAATGTTTGGATGCTGGGAACGCGTGTCATTGACTTCCCATTGATTTATATTATAAAAGAGTTTCAATTTACGCCGGTTCCGTTTACGCCGGTTCGTCCAGGAACGCATCCCCGGCGTAAATCGAGGGCTACCTGTATTTGACAAAATTGAAGATATTCATTTCTGTAATTTTCAGGGGACGAGAGGCAGAATATGAGGAGTGGATACGGAAAAGAAGAGAGTGTAATAGGGAAGGAGATACAGGGAGAGGAACACAGAAATGAAGATGGAACGAGTTAAAGAAAGGAAGACAGGAAAATGTTTTACTCGGCTATGGAAAAACTTCGGAGGTAGAAAGTAAGTTGACAGAACCGGCACGTGATGACAACGTCGTGGGGAAACATCTCACCTCAGACGAAGAAATTAAATGGGAATTTGAAGGAAAATATACCGCGAAGTTCGTGGTTCGTACTGCGTTTCTTCTATTGAATGGCGTTTAGATTAAGAAGCTTCAAGGAGACTGCTAATACAATGCTTCGGTAACTTCTGATCTACACAGCGACGAGGTAAGACGAATTTGAAACGAGTTTAAATTGCATCTAAGGAAACAGACTGTAATCAGATGGCTGGAAATGGCCGTGAGCATAACTGAATAGACCAATTCTTAACCCTTTGAAGCCGAAGATCGTCTGAATATTATTTATGAATTCAGCCCGTACCGCGAAGAAAACACTACATCTCACCATTACGAAAATCAGCTGGTTAACCCTTTGAAGCCGAAGCTCGTCTTCATAATATTTACGAATCCAGACCGTACCGCGAAGAAAACACTTCACTTAACCATTAGAAGTCGAATCAGGCGGTACCACATAAGATTTAACAAAAGAACATCCCGGTCAAAGCCTTAATCACGATGATTCGCGCTACGCTTAGACCATTTTTCCACGGGTAGGAGGTTTGGTAGGCCTTAGAGTTTGTCTAAGACGCGGTGGTCAGTCCCCGCTGGGAACCAAACCCAAGTTCACTACAGAATCTTGAGCTGGGTGGAACTTGTCAGACTTAAAGCTCTTAAATTTGTTGTTTTGTGACTTTTGTGTGCGCGTAGGAGCTTCGTTACGTGCGGGGAAACAGCGCGTTCGCTTTTCAGTGTCGAAGGGTGCCAGACCTATTTGTTATAGGTCATAGGTACAGGATCAGAAGGTTTCCTTGTGATGTTGCGTTTGTAACTTTTCCGATACATGTGCTACACAGAATGGTGCCCTCCCCTCTCCCTCTCGTTTAATTACGACAACAAAAACCAACCGGGATCGCGTATAACATTTTCTTTGATCGTGTGGCCTGAACTGTCATGATAGGACACGTGTACTCGTAATGCTGTACATCGATGTTTTACCTCGCATTTCCATTCATACAGAAACGAACAGACATTTCTTTGGGGTTTGTAAATAATTCTCATTATAATTTACCAAAATATTATTAAAATATTGTCAGTGTGGTGATCAATTTGTCTGTGATTTAAATAAAATTGATTCTGTATGGCAGGCATGAATAAACTCGGAATCTGTAGATATACAGGGTGATTCAAAAGGTTAGTTCCAAACTGAAGGAGAGTCTAGAGCAGTGGTGTTCAACCTGTGGTACGCGTACCCCCAGGGGTACGTGAAATTTAAAAAAAAATATATTATTTTATGATAAACACTGAATAATCGGTAATGTAATTTATTTAATTTATTTTAGATGTAGATTATATAATATGTATAACTTGAATTATACACCAACAACTTTGGAGGTACAAAGTTGAAAAGAAATTATATCTGGGGGTACGCGAAGACATCTTAGGGGGTACGTGAAATTTAAAAAAAATATATTATTTTATGATAAACACTGAATAATCAGTAATGTAAAAAAAAAATATTATTTTATGATAAACATTGAATAATCAGTAATGTAATTTATTTAATTTATTTTAGATGTAGATTATATACTATGTATAACTTGAATTATACACCAACAACTTTGGGGGTACAAAGTTGAAGAAAAATTATATCTGGGGGGTACGCGAACAAAAAAAGTTGAATACCTCTGGTCTAGAGGGACTCAGAGAGAACAACTTTCGAATAGGAATCCATGTCCTCCGAAGTTATCCTGAGTCAGTCGAGGCCATTAAAAGCTGAAATAATCGTACTTTGCTATTCTCCTACTAGCTTAATTTTGTTATTTTATTAATATACAAGGATTACATTAGCAATCTTACAAACCAAATTATTTCAGCGGTATGTTATCAGACTTCCCTACCTTCAATGGCCTCGACTGACTCAGGATGACTTCGGAGGACGTGGATTCCTATTCGAAAGTTGTTCTGTCTGAGTCCCTCTATACGCTCCTTCAGTTTGGCGCCAACCTTTTGAATCACCCTGTATACATAATATTGAGTGACCAATAAAGCTGAAAAAATACGTTCACTCATAACAGTTATGTATTCCGAGAAGTCTTTATGAAACACCGAGTAGTACTTAACGGGTATTATCATGGAACGTGATGACTTAGCGTTTCAAGCAAAATATATTTATTTCATGTCTGAAATACTATCGATCTAGTCACTGACGAAGATAGATTGCATACATAGGATAATAGTCCGTTTAATGAGCGGTATTAATGTAATTCTAATATCTGTGATATCTAGTTATAGAAACAATTACTTTTTATTCCAGGAATATGGATGAAACTACTAAACAATAAAGTTTAGAGACTTGTTATAACAAATGACGATTCAACTCGCATATTTATGTGAAATAACATCTTTGCTGGTATCGATTGCACGATTTAATAAAATGTCTGGAGATGAACGAAACTGATGTCAATAAAGTTCTTGAAGATCTTGACAGGCGACAGAGTTTTAATTTGACGTCCATCGTATCGTGATCTTCAGGGTTGTGACGCCGGATAGGGTGGTTTATGATAGACAGAAAGAAACCAGGTGGATATTTGGATAGGTAGATGAATGCGTGGGTGGAAGGATGGATCTCACCTCAGCAAAATGAATTTCTGTCGAATAACGAAGCTTTCTTCAACGTTGTATTTAATATTAAGGCGAAAAATGAACATAAACACTCTAGAAACAGGGACCGTGGTTCATACCCCAGCGTTTCCAGGACTGTATTTAATTGTTTAATTTTAACCGTCTAATCACAATAAAATATTTGATTAAATATTATTATTACAATTAACATTTAATATTTAAAATATATTAAAATATATTACAATGATGCTCTTTATATCGAAATGTTCGATTTACAATTAGAGCATCATTTTAATATATTTTAATATATTTTAAATATTTTAAATATTAAATGTTAATTGTTATAATAATATTTTAATATTTAATAAAATATTTTATTGTGATTAGACGGTTAAAATTAAACAATTATAATCATCACAATATGACGCAACATTATCATCTCACGACTGTATTTAACTTAAGGGAGAGAAAATGCATCGAGTACGGGCTTTTGTTATAGATACTTTACAGTTCCATTTACTCAGGAAGGCGGGGTGGTAATATGTGAAGAATGCCTCAGATCACGAGGCAAAGTGAGGTGGGAATTGGAGAATGTGACGCGGATTTATTCGATATAAAAATGCTGACTGTGATTTCTTCGAAGTAAATCTACATTATACCATTCCAATATGAGTTTGGAATGTGGATTGTAATTTGGACTCCCTGGACACTACTGTGGATAATGGTAATAACAATAATAATAATAATGATAAATTAAAGCGTAAAAATTTAATTATAGAAATTCAGCGAATGTGAAACAGGGCGTGTTTTGTCACACCGGTATTCATTGGAGCCAAAGGAATTTTAACCCAAAAAGACTAAAAATATATCTGAAAACACCGGGAAAACATTCGGCAAAAATGTGTTACGAAAAATTGTTACGAAAAAGTGTTACGAAATAGTGTAACTTTATTATGTTACTTAGGAAACCTCATCTGTTTACTCAGCATTGTTGTTACCTAGGAAACAATATATAAACGTCCTTTCCGTATAGACGTATTTACGTCAAATTCTCCGGAACCGTGGTTCCACTATCACTTTTTGGTCTTCCAACGTCCCGTTTTCCATGCACCGAATATCATCCCACCAACAAATGTTTCTCCAATTCTTGAATTCATAATATAAATGTCTAAGAGTTGTCGCATATTTGTGCCTGATGGCAATATCTTCTCTGATTTTGTCGTTTAGAGCCTGCCCTAAACTTGGCTTAACTAACGTAAATCTGAATCAAATCTAAAACTTCTTGACGATGGTGAAGAGTCAATTGAATAAACATTTTCTTGGATATTATCCATCGTCTAGTGAATATAAAACGTAAAACGACGTTTCGGAGATGGGACTCTATCTCCGTCTTCAGGTTCCTACACAGTTGGGCCCACTAGATAGAGCTAATCCCTATCTCCGGAGATAGGGATTAGCTCTATCTAGTGGGCCCAACTGTGTAGGAACCTGAAGACGGAGATAGAGTCCCATCTCCGAAACGTCGTTTTACGTTTTATATTCACTAGACAATTGCGCCACGGTGGTCTAGCGGTCAGAACACTAGCCTTGTAAGCCTGGGGTCCCGGGTTCAATTCCCGGTGGTGCTCAAATTTATAACTTGTGTTGGGCAAGGCCGTGGTCTAGGCATCACGGAGTTTTCCTCCGGGGGCTTCCCCGGTTTCAATTACTCCATTCACACACAGAAGAAGGCAATGGCAAACCACTTCTGGATCATCTCTGCCAAGAACGTATATGAACAGGTCCCAGTCCGAGAAAAGGATGGAAGGATCTTGTTCATATGGACCTGTCGTCACACAGAACACTACAAATAAAAAAATTCACTAGACGATGGATAATATCCAAGAAAATTTTTATTCAATTAACGTAAATCTGGTTTCATCCCTACACAGACTTTTGTCCTACTCTCTCTCTTCGATCAGTGCCCTTCTGTGACCGCCACGTGGTATTGCAAAGCTTCTTCAAAAATTATTTTTACTAAATTATCACCTGAAATGGGATGAATCCAGTATCAGCTTCTTCACTACGGATTTATACAAAATGCTGTATCGCAGTTTTTAAGATTTTCGACTATAAATAGAACTTCAAACGAAACGTAACCTACGACATTTCTATTGAGGTTAAATGTCCTAAGGGCGTAGGGATGTGTAGAAAACAGTAGTCCAATGAGTTTAAGTCCTCGTACTATGGAGCAGTGTGTACTCAGCCGCTGACGTCCTCGTGACGCCACCCACACATCAATGTCTGTCAGTGTCCAGAGACAGGTGAGCGGACACGCAGAGCGATGTGTCGTTAATTACGACGGGGACTGAAGTGCACACATGCGGTCTGCAGATGGCTCTCGCCAAATCGAATCTTCAACACGGTAACCAGGCTATAATCAGAAGGCGAAAGTTCATTTCGATAATAAGAATCGATTTCTAGCTGGTTCCCTGAGGTAATCGACTGTGCGATGGGCTCTTTCGATGTATTGAAGCTTCTGTGTTGGTTAACTCAGTTTCGATCTCTCGCTTTCGAGACAGCAGCTGTGTCCGCCCACAGTATGATCCACAAACTATTTCATTACAACTGTCTTAAGTGTGAATATCTTTTCGCTGTGACGTTAGGCGTAATTCTCGTTTCGTTTTTAAGGCAAGACTCGGTATCTCAACCTGAAGACATTTTCGTCTGTCAGTTTATAATCGCAAAGTTCTTACAGGGGTTACATTACATTCTGTGTGTTGGTGGATGGGTGTACTTAGACAGTCGGCACGTATCACTTTTATAACTCAAACTGTGCACTTTTTTCAATCGAAATGTTACACGAGCCACCGCAAAGACAACGCATTACGTCTCTATTACAAACGTCAGTGTATGAAAATTGTATTTGAATTATTTTATCGTTTTGAAGCTTTATATATAATTATATACACCTGAGGATGGTTATTTTAGGAACTGAAACATGTCGTGAAACATGAAAAATGATGGTCTAATGTAAAATCGAATATTTCGATAAAGAACATCATTTAATATTTTAAATATTTTAAAATGTTAATTATTGTAATATTTTAATATTTAATAAGAATTTATTGTGATTAGACGGATTTAATATAAACGTCAGTTGGTTAATTCGATTTGAAAAAAGGGGATTTCCCGTTGAAATTCATCTAAAAGCTGCAGAATGCCATCTAGCGTCATTACTTAGAACTATCTATATCAATCGTGATACCTCAACGTTTTCCCGGGGACTATTAAAGGAAGCTGGGACCATCTAAACTGATTGACGTTTTCGTGGGTTTTATCAGTCACTCTTTGCAAATGCCGAGATAAACTCGAAGCTCTGAAGAAAGGCCAATCGTTTATAGAACTTATTTCCTACGTCAAGTCGATGTTGTTTCGTTCAATGACGTCATAGACTTAAGACGGGTCTGCACGACCATCCTCGCGTCAGAAACACTGAAATGGGAAGTTTGTATGTGGGAAATTAAAGATCTTTTCTCATATCTGCTGGGCATATGAGCCAACAAAATCCGAATTCATAGGTAATTAAAACAAAAATTTGCTCTCCAGGTGTACCTATTGATTTATTATCAGACTCGGTGCGCAGTCAGATGACCTACTCAAACAATTAACATGTGATTCCTTCATGATTTATTCACAACACAGGATAAATGAGGCAAAGATCAGTCCCTCATTCTATAAATTAAATCAATTTCACACTTCCGAGTTTGGAATGATCTGGACTCGAAAGGAGGACATTTAAATGGATGACAATGTAAACCTGTACGCAGTGTGGACCAGTGAACACGTCATATCATCTGACTGAGCCCAAAAATTCATTTGTACGTGAAATCTGGAATTATTCCACAAGCAGTTAACAGAAGTTAAAACTCGTGCTAATTGAAAGCAGATTTGTGTTGAAAACGTACACTTAAAATCTCATAATAGAAGTCAAATACTGAGTTCATTTGAGGAAGAATTTCGAGGGTGGTGATGGATGTAAAATCCTGAATCGTTGTACTATCGATTTTACGTCCAGAGCCACAAACTTTATTTAGGTTCTGTCGGTGATTTTGTAGGTGTAGCATTTTAATTCTCTATTTTATTTTAGATAATAATCTGTGTACGTCCCGCGGTCTGAGGCATCGTGCTTCGGACCGGCGATACGGAATGCTCGCTGGTTCGAGTCTCGGCGGAGAAGGAATTTTCTCATGAGCTTTCGACCAGTCCAGCATCGTGTAGGAAATTGGGGAGCTACAATTAGTAGCGTAATCCGGTCAGGGAAACTAGCAATGGCTGGGGGTTGGTCGTGCTGACCACACGTCACCCTGTATCTGGTTGGATGATCGTTCATTTCTGCTTAGGCATGTGAACGTGAGGCCAGCAGTCAAGCTAGTCGGCTTTGGCTCTCTGGAGCTGTTACGCTACGGATTTAATTTTTAATTTAATTTAATAATCTGTGCACATGTAGACAGGTCACGAACTCTAGTTATTGGAGATTACACCTCTTATCGAAGACGAATTGTGTTATTCTAAGCTGTGACTCCGTTATTTTCCTACAGATTCACATGACGTTACAACCGAGAGGAGCATCATTGTCGAACAGAAGTTGCCTCGGTACAGAACCGATTGGGGAAGAGTATTTCTAATTTATACCTTTAGGGACATCAACACCAACCAACATCTTGGAAATTTAAAATGGTATTTGGATGAAATTCGTATTTGTAGAAGTCCGGCTTTGCAAAGGCAGATATGAATTATCTCAGAACACATTCTGGTTCGGAGACCTAAGGGTTACGTTGTGCGACGCAGGGATTCTCCGTGAGGCAGGCAGCCACTGTGACGTAGCAGTGACACATCCTCTTTAGGAAAAGTCTGTGTGATGTCCCGCGGTCTGAAGTAGTCGATCCATGTATACATCGCGAGTTACATTAATTATGAGCTATTTTTCAAGTCGGTTTGCTTGTGTTCCGTCATGTAATTCACTAGATGGATATTAATTAAATTTGGTGTGGCGTGAAGATTCAGAGTTGAAGGAAGATTTTGTTTTGTCCCTGTCTGATATTAATAAAATTTACATTTTTAGAAAATTGATCGCGGTGCATAAATATGCACGTCTATTTGGTGCCTATGAATTTCACGTGAAATATTTCATAATTTTGTATCTAATTATTCAAATACAAAAAAATAACTATTACTGGTTGCATGGTGAATAATAATAATAATAATAATATTACTAATGTTTCTGTCCGCAGTAGAGTTTTGTCAGAAGTAACAAACGGCGTAGGTATTTAAATTGCACTGGATTCATTTCAAATCTCAGTGTACTCCAAACTGGAGTATGTCTTCCCTCTTCTTTTCATTTATTACTTAAGTTTCCATGACACTATATTTAGAGTGCGGGTATCATTTGCTTAGGTGCAGGTACCCGTTTTCCACTTAAACCCTGTTTTCATAGCCTTGTGATCTCGGCAACTTGTCTCACACGTGTGTAAAGCGTACGATATAAACAACCCTGTGGTGTTAAACTCATATGAGGGGTTGCATAGCTAATGAATTTCAGGTTGACATTTGGAAAAGGAATTAAACTAGAACGAGGGCAGTATGTTCAGTCCGTGTTCTCTGTGTGTCACCTCGAAATTACTTTGAACAAAGTGATCGAGTTTCTAGAACTCAGTAGGAAGAGATCATAACAACGGAGTCAGCCGGACGTGAGTCCTTCAGTTGTTAATTAAATTATCTAAAATGTATGACTGTTTTTATTCAGATCAGCAGAGGCGAAACATTGTTTTCTGAACGTTATGCCGGAGAACATCCAAAAGGGAGACACACCAGAAGGCAATTGCCACTGAAAGCATTCACCTGTGCAAAAACTCACCCTCGTCCCGGTTACTGCCAATGAGGATCTCCGTATCGTCGTAATCTCCGTCCCTGATTAAATCAAGGGGATGTTTGGGAAGGAAGACGCCGTCAATGGTAGGAGCCGATGGGAATCCAAGAACACCCCAGTACGAATTCCACTGCTGCACGGAAATGGTCTTAGAGTCCACCAACCTCAAACACGCCATCACCTTACTCGGCGACTCAGTCAGCTGGTCAGCATTACAGCCGACATCTTCCACTAGGACTCGTCCTATATCTGCAGCCTTCTCTGCTGTCATGTAACTCCAAGGAGCGTTCAGAGTGCCTGATTGCATGATTCCTCTTCTGACAAGGCTTCTTGTAACCGGCGATAACAAGTGGATGCTCACTGAGCCACCTCCTGCAGACTCTCCAAACAGTGTTATCAGTTCTGGGTCTCCCCCAAATGCAGCGGCGTTGTCTCGTAGCCAGCGGATAGCCAGTGCTTGGTCCCATAGTCCCATGTTTCCAGGTGCCTCTTCTGTGTCCCCTCCAAAGAACGGAGCCAGGTACAGGAATCCGAAAGTACCAACTCTGTACTGCATCGATGCTACTATGACGTCACTCGTTGCTGCTATGATGTCGGCGTCGTAGACGTCCAGGGTGGAAGTGCCACTCATGTAACCTCCGCCGTATATCCAGACGAGTATCGGCACTTTGGGCCTCTCACCAGAGTGCCTCATTCTTACCCGTTGAGGAACCCAGATATTGAGATACAAACAGTCCTCAGAGACGTTGGTATTAGGGTTCCACATCTCTTCACCTTCAAAGCCTGGGAAGTATTCGTACCTTTCCTGATAGCAGCTGTTCGGTAAGATTGTAGCGTCCAAGACGCCGTGCCAGGGGTCCACAGGAACCGGACGTCTGAAGCGAAGTGGACCTACCGGGGGCTTTGCGAACGGTATTCCAGTGAATATGTGAACTTCCTTATTCATAACCATTCTGGAGAAACCTCGGACCAACCCGCTCTGAGTTTCGATTACCAGAGGGTCGTTGTGATAATCACGGTTGTTGATGTTAATGTTGCCGGTTGAAGTCGAACCGCCGGATGAACTCGGGTGTGGCGCTGAGGAAGAACTGTTGAGGTGAGGCTTGGAACCGGCACCAATCGCGTTGATGCACCACACTGTACTCAAGAGAAGAAGGGCGATCAACTGGCCCTTGGACCCCATGTCGGAAAAAGTTTATATTTTTTTTTTTTTGAAAATAAAATAAATTTTCTTCGTATCTCAGCAGAGAAAACTTCGGTAAAATTCACTCTAATTTTGATATGTACTGATTAAAGGACGTAGGATTATGCAACTGTTCAAAATCAAAGTTCGCTGAAGGTACGCAGAATTTACAGCATACGTTCCGAAGATATGTCACACTGAGCTTGATGTTTGTTACGTCGATGAATTAATATCACCGCGTGGTGTGATCTTTGGTGATTTCCTTATCCTCGTGACGAAATCCCGGCTTTGTGCATTAATTCAGGTCTTCTGATAACGCAGTTTATTTTCTTGGCAACTGAACACTTGTTTTCTACACTATCTGTACACGTGTTTAGAAAATAAATCTTCGACTTTAAAATGCATTCGTGGCAGCTTCCGGCGGGCGCTACGTTTACGTCGTAAAACAATTTCCGTGCGTCCTCCTGAAGAGTGCGTCACGCATGGAGGATTGCGCTCGTCATGTGTGTTTCACTGTTAGCGCCCTACCGACTTGGAGGAGAAGACGAAGCAGTTGGAGAGAAGTCGCGAGTGGCGAAGTCCTTTATCACAATTCTCTGTAGCACCTTGGCGTAGCCCCTCTGAGGCTGCCTCCAGTAGCGCTGCTGTCCACAGTGCTCGGCACACTGCTGCTAATCCTGCCGCCTGCCCGTCCTATCACCTCCGGGCGCAGGCGCGCAACCTCCGTAGGTCCCCCGTAGTACTACGACCGTGCATCGCCCGCCGTCTTCGCGCAACAGTGTCATAAGTACGGAGGACAATTCCCTTCTCTTTTCAAATTTGTTTCCCTTCCTCTGTCCTCCTTCATTCTTTCCCCTTTCATTCTTCTGTCTCCATTTGACGTTCGTTCTCATCTCGCTGGCTGTGTTTACTTATCGTCTTTTCCTTTTCATTGCAGTCGATATTCGACAGGCGTTTGTGACCTACTTACAAGTAGAGTCTCTGAATTTCACTGAGTGTGGTCCTTCTCTGCTTCACCGACGTAATTCGTGTCATGTATTAAATTACTATCAGCAAAGACAAGGTTAATTACGAGCAAACGATGAAAAATGGGACCACGTCAAAGAGAACAAACAAATTACGAGCAAACGATGAAAAATGGGACCAAGTCAAAGGGAACAAACAAACATATAACTTGTACAACAGAGTGACGCCACGGTGGTCTAGCGGTTAGAACGCTGGCCTTGTAATCCTGGGGTCCCGGGTTCGAATTTATAACTTGTGTTGGGCAAGGCCGTGGTCTAGGCAACACGGAGTTTTCCTCCGTGGCATCCCAACAATTACTCCATTCACACACAGAAGAAGGCAATGGCAAACCACTTCTGGATCATCCGCCAAGAACGTATATGAA